ATAATAAAAATAAAGATAACAGTAAAGGTTAGAAATTTAACTATAGAAAAATATTACTTTATTTTGTCTCCTTGTTCAGCAGGCCAATACAGGTCTGTTTCAAGGGCTTGAACATTTATTACAAAGCATCTAATAAGGAAATTCAGGAGCCCAATTTTAATAAATATATATACTGAAGGTATCTGCAGACCACAATGCTTACTCTAAATACTACAGACTGGGGTATTTAGTCTGGGTGCCTGGGTGGCTCAGGCGTTAAGCGGCTCAGGTCATGATCCCAGGGTCCTGGGATAGAGCCCAGCCCACATCGGGCTCCCTGCTCAGCAGGAGGCCTGCTTCTCCCTCTCCCTCTACTTGTGTTCCCTCTCTCGCTGTGTCTCTCTCTGTCAAATAAATAAAAAATATTAAAAAAAAAATCACACTGTACTTTAAAAATAAATAAATAAATACTACAGACCAGTTAACTACAGCTCAAACACCACAGATTCTTGTAAGTAAAAACAGAAATGTATCATCTCCAATTGCATATACTAGTTTTCATGAACTATTTCAAACATTTTTTTAAATTTAAGCAAAATTTCAGGGGTGCCTGGGTGGCTCAGTCGTTAAGCGTCTGCCTTCGGCTCAGGTCATGATCCCAGGGTCCTGGGATCGAGCCCCCGCATCAGTCTCCCTGCTCCGCGGGAAGCCTGCTTCTCTCTCTGCCACTTCGCCTGCTTGTGTTCCCTCTCTCACTGTCTCTCTCTGTGTGTCAAATAAATAAAATCTTAAAAAAAAAATTTTTTTTTTTCAAAGTAAGGAGAAAGTGAGACTTAGAAGACTATTTGGAAAAACTTACACATTACCACTATCTTTGTAACTTCTATATAAATCTTCCCCAAGCATGAGCGCTCACAGGATTAGAAGTGTCTCATAAATCAAGCCTGAAATCTCTTCATAAGCATACCAAACAATACAATGCCTGAGCAATCAAGAATCTACACGATAGTTGGAAAACGGTGCCCTCCACAAGTCAAACACCACCATTCTTCCTGGCACCGAGCCCTGTTTTCCTCCAATCTGCCAGAGGCATCCTCCTTAGGAAATTAAATACAACATTTCACGCATTCTGTATTAATTTTTAATGCTATTTCTCAAGATAACTAAATTTTATTTTTAAAATGTACAAAAGCCCATCACAAAAATAAATATCGAAATTATAACATTCAAAACCAGAGCTGTTTCTACATAGAAACTGGCTGGGCTCTAAAAAAGAAACGATGTAGCAATGATGTAAGGCTAGGGTGAGTCAAATTTGTTTGAAGTCTAAAAATACCTCTAGTTATAGACTACTCAAGACAAGGAAATTCTTCCACTATATTTTTACTGTGTCCCCAAAGTAAAATATCCAAATACATGTAACATGTAACATGTATTCCAGCTATTTTAACTCATGAAACCATTGTAATAAGACATTTAAAATTAGCAAAGCTAAAATACATTTTTAAATGGGCCTCATTCTTTGACAAAATTTTTACATAAGCTACCTTGCTCTACCTCTGCACAATCTTTAACGTTTTCTCTCAAACTGGGGATGGATGGGAAGAACCTGAATATGTGATTTACTTAAAATGGGCAAATAAGATAGAGAATTTTATATTCTTTAAAGGGCTCTATTCGTTCGATTCTAATTCAGGGAATCGTCTTTGCACATACCTCTCTCTCTTACAACTAAAAGACAGCAACCAATTGTTGTGTAACTCCTCCCTTCCCCCTTCAACCCAGCTAACATACAAAGGAAAGGACTTTCTCTATTGTGCAAATTCAGTCCCTGCAATAGATCTTTGTTAACTAAAATGGGATTCAGAAATAGTCCTCATTTAATTTTTTTCAACCGGCATATTAAAAGCTGTAAAGACAACGAACACACAAATGTATTCTTATTGCAAGAAGGTAAAGCCAAATTTTGAAAATGCTCTGATTACATTTTAAAGATTGGGTCTTTCTTTGGTACAGAGGGAAAAAAGCCAAAGCAGCATCCTTCCCTCAATCTGTTTTCCACCAAAATCACTGCTCAAAATGTAAATAATACAAAAAAGATTTGGTTCTGACCCCTCCCCCCAAACACACACAAAAGTGCCCTCTAAGCTGCCCTGCTCCCAAAACGGTCTGGTTTAATCTTAAAAAAAAAAAAAAACCCCAAACACTTACGAAAGCCTAATCATGTTACAAGAATAATCATTTTGAAAACGTTTTATGTAATGGATTCCCAATATACACCTCTTAATCCTGTAAAACAGTTATTACTTAATGTTGTAATTAGCTAGGGAAAAGGATAAGAGCTGGTAAAAGGTATGAGAGAGTTTCTCTCATTTTGATTTCTAGAAAACACTAAAAGTGAATATCTACATTTTCTTGCAGAACTATCAGTCTGGTACAACTACCTTTTGATCCCTTTCACATAATTACTCAAATTTCATTTTCCTCCCCATACCAATCACACATTTTACAAAACATTTTCTACAGTAGGGATAAAAGACTTTGAATTCCTCCAAACAGGGTCCATTTAGCTCCACAGCTGGAAAAGCGAAAACATTTCTTATACATATTTAAGAATAAGCAAGAAACCATAAATAGAGATTACCTGTCCCAGGGATCGGGTGGGAAGTGGGGGATGGGAACTGGGAATCCCGAGGTCAGGGGTGAAGGGGAAATTTTTCTCTGTAAACCCTTTACACTCTTTAAACCCGTAAGAATGCACTGCCTTTTCAAAGGGCTAAGGACGCCTGTTTAAAATTTTTTAAAAATCAAAAGAAAGGAGTTTCATGGACACGCGGTCTGCTTAGTTTTAAAATAATCTGCTTTAATCAGTAGCATCTGCTTGTGCTCTGCAATACGTGAAATACCCCTTTAAACGCAGTCGTGAGCAATGTGCCCGCTAAGCCCTCTTTAATACAGTAACGTTCCTCCAGACCTCCGCTTTCGAAGGCAGCTCGCATCCTCCGCCCCCTCCTCCCTCTGTGCATTCTGAGATCTGCTCTGCTGATTCCCACATAAAGTGGGTCCTGGCCGCCATTTTAGAAAGTCATTCACACAAGCCGGACGGCATCATCATCCACTTAAAAACCTCCCAAAACTCCCTTGGACTATCTCCTCTTTCCTTTCCCTCACCCCTCATCTTCAGAGGAGTCAAACTCCCTGCAATAGGCATGCAATGTCTCTGGAATGTGCATAATGCGAAATGACACGTCTGGCCACAGAACACTGAGCGGAAAAGCGAATGCTGCAATGCACGTGTTTGCATGTCGGTACAGACGAATTTCCCAGGCAGAGACCTACAGAGAAAGTCCACAAGGAGTTAAAAGTGAGCACACTGAAGTGGCTTTTCCACTCCAATAATCTGCACCTAAGTGACTTTCCCACCAAAGCACTGAAGATACTGGGGCTGTGGGTGGAGGTAAAGGGTGGAGCAGCGCCAGGGAGAGAAAGTTCCCATCTGCTTCCCAACTGAGCACCAAGGTCTCGCTCTCCTTTATCACTGGGGATAGAGGCGAGTTTTTGCTCCCTGCCTGCCCTAGCCTGGTTTCTCAGCACAACGTAGTAAACACCGGGAGAGTCCCTGGAAGCGCGCCTCCCCCAGCCCTGCCGAGGACAGCTTTAGCAGGTTATGAATGGCCTCACTATTGCCGGCTCCTTTTCACACGCGGACACGCGCAGACGCGCGCTCCAGCAGTGAAGATTTAATACCCCAGTAACAGCAACCACCAACAGAATCAATGATCCTCCATTTAAAAGAGTGGAGCTCTGCTGCCTCTGCTTCCATTTCCCTATCCAAGCTGCTCAGGAACAAGCGACGCAATCTATTTTTCCCATGGTGACTCACTAATAAGGGCGCTCCATAATTTCCTTCACTCACTAGATAGTAAGAGGAATTAGTAAACCAAACTTAAAATCTTTCAGGGTCTCGAATATCGGAAGAAACAGTAATTTTCGAGGACGACCACAGATTTGTTACAGTCCTTCACAATTTGCACCCATCTTCAGTAAACCGTCACTTTCAGTATTTTATACCGAGGACCCTATCCGTTACGGCACACATACGTTCCACGAAGAAAGCAAGCGCTTAAATGCTACTGTACAAGATGTATCAAAAACAACAGTGATCCCACATTTCACTGACAAAAAATATTCTGGGAAGTTTTAAAAAGCTATTACCTCCTGATCTTAAAAGATTTGCATTCTTCTAACGACCGATTAAAGGACTCTGGGCGGGAGGGAATCACCGTTCTTCCAAAGGCGGCCCCTCAGTGCTAAGCCGGCGCGGCCGCGGAGGTGGAAATCCCGGCTCTCGGGCTCCGACGCCAGCTGGGCACCGTCCTACCTGCGGTCGGTCTTCCACTGAAAGCCCTCGGTCCTCACCACCCTCCTCACCCAAGGACCCCAGAGGGCTGAAGGCGGCCAGGAAGGCGAAAGAGCCGAAACAGGCGCACCAACTTATTTACAGACACCATACTCGCTAGCCAACCCCGAAAAAAAAATAGTCATTTAAAGAGAGAGAAAATGTGAGCTTGCCATTTCCCTGTAGTTACTAGGTCTGTAAGCCGTTCGTGAGAGGTGCCTAGAACCTCGTAGTTGTCTCCCCAGTTCGGAGCTGCTCCTACACCACCTACCGAGACTTGTGTCTGGGTAAAACCTCTCCTGCCGCACAAACCCCTCCCTCGGTTAGACATTTCCAAAGCGCCGGCAGGGCGAGGAGTTGCGGCGGGACTCCGGAGTTGGCCGCGCCGGGATGGGGGTCCGGGGCAGCGGCGCGCAAGGACGCAACCCCACTCCCGGCCGGCTTGAGGACACCCTCCCGGCGCCGGCTCCGCGGAGGCCGGGCGATGACCTCCTCCTCGCTGGGGCGGGAGAGCGCGGCAGCCGGGGCCGCTCCGCCGAGGCCCAACGCCACGACGCGGGCCGAGCGGCGGCCAGACAGCCGCGCACCCGCCGCTCCCGTCCGTGGGTCTGGCCCGGGTCCCCTCAGCAGTTCCGCGCACGGGGAGGGGCCGGCAACGGGCCGGACGGGCAGCAGCGCCCGAGGAGAGAGCGCGGCCCCGGGCCGCGTGTCACTCACCGTTTGAAATGCTCGATGATCTTCTCTTCCCGCACATTCTCCGGTAAGTTGCCCACCCAGAGGTGCCTGGTTTCTCGGACCATGCTGGGCGGTGTGCCGGCGACCGCTGGTGCGGGTTCTCCCTCGCCGGCTTCGTACGAGCCCGTCAGCGCCGGGAGGCGGGCGCCGAGGCGGCGTCGGCGGCGGCTGCGGCGGTGGCGTCGGCAGCGGCGGCGGCTCCTCCGGCTCCCCCCCGTGCAGAGACCATCCCTCTCCCCCAGGTTCTGACTCTCGGGCCTCGCAGCTCCGCTCTGCCGCCACCACACACCCGAAGCCGACCCTCGCGCTCCGGCAGCGCATGCGCCCGGGCGGCGGCGGGCGGGGGAGCGGGGAGGAGGGGCGAGCGGGACCCGGGCGGCAGCGACTACGACGGAGCTGGCGCTGTGGCAGCCGGACGCTTCCCACCGGCGCGCGCGCCCCGCCTCCCTCGCCGCGGGCACGCGCGCGTCCGCCCGCCCGCCGAAGCCGAGACGCCGAGTTCCTCCCAGCCGGCGCGCAGGCGCGCGGGGGAGGGAGGAACGCTGGGCCTGAAAGGAACGCTCGCGCGCCCGATCCTGACGCGCAGGCGCGCAGTCGCGCAGGGAGCCGGCCGCGGGGTGGGCGCTTAGTCAGACCTGGGGCGCTGAGCTTGCAGAGACGGGGACGATCTCTAGCCCCTCAAGCAGGGGTCCCAGGCGCCGGCCTGGGGGAGAAAAGAGAGAAAGGGGGTTGGTTTTGATAGGGCTGCGTGTCAAAGCGGCTGCCAGTGCCTCTCCTAGGACTCCTGGCCCTACTCACCCTTCGGCCAGGAGCTGGCCGTTTCCGGGCACTTGGATCCCCGCCTGCTTGGGAAAGTGTCAGAACAAGGCCGCCCTTCTCACTGCCCAGCGAAGCAATGACGGGTTCAGAAACCCATCCCTCTCAAGAATAATTAGCTTGTAACGTTAAGCAACTATTTTATATAGGATCTTACGAAACTGCAAGATATCCTAGCTGATCGTTACGGTATACCAGGAATAGAACTGAAATGAGACGGCTACATGTCTATTATTGTAATAAGGATTTATATAAAGGATTTACTGTAATTTAATATTTAAGCATAGGAACGGATCAGACCTCTGGCCTTTCCAGGCCTAAAGACCACAGCTGAACTTTTATATAAAGGCCAGTTTACAGAACCCCGGAGAAAACCCACAAAATTAAGACAAACTGTATTGAGTCCAGAAAAACGGAATCGTTTAGAACAGTCAGCAACTCAATTTTCTTTTCCATTTTTTATCTACAGAAATAAAATACCAAAGGTGCGGTACTTCAAGTACACACCAGATTTTAAATATTTGGTCTCATTCACTATCCTTAAATACAGCCAATTTATCACCTAACTATGCTATTTGGGATTGGAAAATATGGTCACCATAATCAATGGCACTAATACCTGGAGTCACCTGTGCATAGTTTCTTTTGTTCCACAGACAGTAATGTTCCCAGTAGTTTTTTTGTTGTTTACCATATAATCTAACATAAGCTTCTTAATGATTGTGTCCGACTGAGAGTCCCATCAACTTTTTTTATATTTGGCCTAATAGTCCATACTATAGCGGTGCCTGGGTGGCTCAGTCGGTTAAGCATCTGCCTTCAGCTCAGGTCATGATCCCAGGGCCCAGCCCCGCATCTGGCTCCCTATTCAGTGGGGAGCCTGCTTCTCCCTCTCCCTCTGTCCCTTGGCTCGTGCTCTCTCTATCCCATAAATAAAATATTAAAAAGAAAAATAGTCCAGGGATGCCTGGGTAGCTGTCAGTTAAGCATTTGCCTTTGGCTGAGGTCATGATCCCAGGGCCCTGGGATGGAGTCCCGCATCCAGCTCCTTGCTCAGCAGGGAGCCTGCTTCTCCCTCTGCTGCTCCTCCTGCTTGTGCTCTCTCTCGCTATGTCAAATAAATAAATAAAATCTTAAAAAAAAAAAAAGAAAAATAGTCCATACTATACTTAATAAATTTGATCAGTTGAGATAATCTGTCTTCCCTCCTCAGGACATTGAGGAGGCTAAGCAAGCCCCAGCCTTACACAGTTGCAACAATTACAGTAGAAGATGAGCTTGCTGAGGGGCTAACCTCACCCTCCCTTTGAAATGATTTTTGGAATTTTGACAAATTATTTCTAAAACTTCTAGATTCTGAGCCAGGTTATTTAACTGATTTGTTTAACTTCAGTAAGAGTCAGAAACAGAAAGAGGAGGTAGAGAAAAGCTAGAAACAGAAAAGCCCCACTACAATAGTGGCACTCATTGATAATTTAGGTAAGGTATTTAGTGCCCCATCCCCAGAGGCTGACCTTGTCTTCATGCAAGTCAGTCATTAAATGAAATGGAAATTTGTGTTCTTGAAAATATTATGGAATGGATTCCTCAGTAAAAGCAAATCAAACCACATTCAGATGTAGGATTAGCCATTTACATTTGGCCATTTCTTTGTCACAACTATCACTTAAGGAGTGTCAAGCCAGCACACTATTAACCTAAACTCATGAACTATATAGTTCTGCATATACGGCTGCAGTTAACGTTGAACTGACATGCATTTTTCCATGAAGCATGAATTTCAATACAAGCAACCACAATTTGAAACACATTTTAAAATCTTTTTTTTTTTTTTTTTAGATTTTTATTTATTTATTCATGAGAGACAGAGAGAGAGAGAGAGAAGCAGGCTCCCCAAGGAGCAGGGAGCCCGATGCAGGACTCGATCCCAGGACCCTGGGATCATGACCTGAGCCGAAGGCAGACGCTTAACCATCTGAGCCACCCAGGCGCCCTGAAACACATTTTAAAATAGGATGTAAATTACCCATTTAAAACTTGATAGGCTCTGAATTAGCTGAAACTTCTTGGGAAAGACCAAAGTGTCACCATGAAGAACAGAAGAGATTCAGCTCAACTGCATTATTAAGAGGGGCAACTGACAAGACAATTCACAAAATAGCGTCTTGCAATTATAGAAGTAAAGGGCATATCTCACCTTGCATGCAGACTTCAGTTAAAATCATGCTGAGGAAAAATTCAAGGGCTGGAAAAAAAAAAAAAAAAAAAGGAGGGGGGACCTTTTAGAAGCAAAATCATTAGAAGAAAGACTAGTTAGAGTAATTATTGAATATGGTATTTTGTATCCATCTAGGACTCCCACAGAACAATAAAAGGATAAACCAGAACAAAATAAGAAGCAATTAAGGTATTTTTTTCTAATACTTTCTCCATGGCACAAGAATGAGGGGACATTAAGTAAAAGTTAAAGCAACATGCTTACCAACTAAAATTTTTTTGAACTAGTTCTCTTAGGTTAGCCTAAAGGTCTTGTTATATCAGTGCTGTTTTTCCATGCAAAAAGCAGAATAGATACTTAATTTTTGGAAATTAATTTGAAACGGGCAAAGTTATTTACAAATACTTTACAAATGCCTTCAAGTCCCCCACCTTTGGGAAGTAGTGGAGGAGAAACCTGGTGGAAGATTACCAACACACAAAATTATTAAGCAAAGTTGAGTTAAAGTTCTCCCAGAGACCAAAGAGATCACAATGTCACAAAGATTAGGAGCAAATGTCAAATTAAGAATATCATTTCTCATCTTGCCAGAGATTTACCAAACAAGTGAGAAACAGTCTCACAATATAAAGGCTAGCAAAATCCCATCAAACATCATTTGATAGCACCTTATACTCAGATTCTCTTTAAGTGTTGTCAAACTACTTGTTTGACACCAAAAATAGCAACCAAAGTGTTTATTTTAGTTTCTTAGGTTTTTAAAAATCTGATATATATTTCTCAAGAGAATTCTCAGTTTATAAAATGTCAACAGACATCAGCCTAAATAGATACAATGAGTAAAACAAAATTCAATTATCTGTTTAAATTCTTAATGTATTCCTATGATGCCAAAAGAAAAAAATATGACACTAACTTCAATCGAACAGATTGGTTTAAAGGAAAAATAGCTCACATATAGATGCTGGGCTCAAATGAGCAATTCAGGTAGGAATCCTATCCATCTTTATTAAACTTAATAGTTGCAGGTTAAAAGTACTGTCCATGTTCCTTACTGATTCTTTCAGCAATAAAAAAACACTACTTGGCATGAACTTTTGTGTTATACTAAAACAAAAACAAAAACAAACTGATGATATGAACGACAGACATTATATATAATGGAAGTATGCCTGGGTTACTGGGTTTAGAGTTTAAAATTCCAGTTCCAATTTTGTCACTGGCTATATGACTTAGCAAATCAATTAAATCCTCAAAGTCTCAATATCCTTATCTACAAAACGAAATATCTGTTTTCTCTACCAAAAAAGGTCTCCAGAAGTATCAAAGAAGATAATATATGTAAAAGGATTTGGAAGTAACACACCGTAAAAATATCACAAATACTATTAAGTTGACCACTAATTTCATATTAATATCAAAAGCATCAGCTGAAATTTAGAACATATCATTACCAATTTTCAGGGTTATACAGCCTACATAGGTCCTATAGCCAAATCAAAATGCAGTGATTGCATATTAAGTATGCAGTTCCTTGTCGGTTTTTGCTTTTTCTATTGCAAAGCTCTTAATAACAGCAAAACTGATAAGTACATGCCCTTTGCACAGCCCCAAATCAAGTGTTTGATTTTTTCAATGCCTTTCATTTTTATTGGCAATGTATCAGAAAACACTGGGAAAGCTTTTCTCTATTTCTGTCTTTGGTACAAATATTTACGAAGGCAGAATTTCTTCATCAGCATTTATCTTTGTATGTTTTCAATAGCAAGGCAACCCACACTGTTATTCTGATTTTTAAATTTATATTAACAATTAATAATTGATGCTCATTGAAAAAGATCAAAAGTAGGGTGCGATCTCTCCTTTCTTCTATAATAAATGGATGGTGAAGTGAATTTCCTCATTTGAGTATTAATGATAATTCAGAAAGGTAACAGTAAAAGCAGAGCCATTTGCAAAGGGAATTCAAATAGATGTGTTTTTAATCAGGTCTTATTTTCACACTGTGAGGCTCCTGTATTTAGCATGCTAGATGTGCTCAAAGAGTTCAGTCATGCGTAATGGAAGCCCAGTTGGGGAAAGCATTTGAGCCTCAAACTCCGGCTTTGAATGCTAACCTAGCCAGTAGAGCAGATAAATGAATATCAACATTTAAACAGGAGGACAGAATTGTTACCAGATATTTAACAAGAATTTGGTTACAAATCTAGTCCCTAGCTATTAAAATTAAACTATTTCATGACAAAACATATACTTAAAATATAAGCACTTGTTCCTAAAGGCATCATATAAAAATACATTAACTAGCTCTAAAATGATCAAAGCCTACTTGACAACTCAACAATACAAATTCCTTCTATTATTAGAATCAGTTTTTTTCAAAACAGTAGAAAATAAAACAGACAACACTGCTATATTATTCTGAGTGTCTGACATATTGTTAGTTCTGAGGGTCAACTGGTGAAAGAAAGACCAGTCCATTAACAGATTTATTTTGGTATAGAAGGCACAGTCTGGTGGAATTATATACATAAATTATCAGAACTTCAATCAATTGAACATTAGCCAGCTAGCCCTCTAAATCATACTTTCAGCAAGCTAACGTTTCGTAATCTATTTTACTATTCAACCCTCTAAGCGAAATAATTTATCCCACCTTGTTTTTAGTATTCCAGAAATGAATGTAATGGCTGGTAACTTTTTTTTTTAATCAATTCTTATGTTTCTACCATTTTCTTGGAAAGTTGCTTAATTTTTTCCCCCCTCTGAGGAAATACTGCTAATGTACCTAATATTCAGAATTATGAATTTATTAATGTTTATGGCATTGGAAAAAAATTGACTATTTGCAAATACCTTAATCACAGCTGTGCCTATGTGGTAGAATTTAATTCTTTCTTAAATTTTAATTCTAGTAAAGTTAACATACAGTGTTTCAGGTGTACAATATAGTGATTCAACAATTCTATACATTACTGAGTGCTCATCACCTGTCCCCCTACCCACCTCCCCTGAAATTTAAAATTTTTATAAAGTTTTTATTCATCTATATTTTCTAAAAAGATTTCCATCTATATTTTCTTTGGTTAACATATATTGCTTTTATAATTAGAAAAGGTTATAATAAAATGACTTTTGGAAGTCAACATCTGGGTTACTTTAAAGGTTGACTTTAAAGGTTTAAAGCATCAACTCTGAAATGTTGATGCTGGACTATACTAAATCAACATATTTGTGTTAAGAGATCCCATGTGAACAAAATGTTATTCACTATGTTAATTCAGATAGTTCATTCAACCTTTTAAACCTCTATTGTTAATCCTCATGTGAGAAAAAACTTAACCTCTTCACTAGAAGTGATATACATTAACCAAAACACCCCATGTATAGTAGATGGTAACTTTTAAACATCAGGAAGTAAGCAGAATATAAATAAATAAGGCTACTGATTAATTCAGAGAACACTGTCAAAGGGTAGTTGATGGAATCTCAAAAACATTAATACCAAATAAAATGTTTAGTAACTTGCTACATATGTCTTGAAATTTTCAGCAGACTTAGGGTCGGAAGCTCCCCGGCTCTAGTTTGAAATAGAAAATTTAAAAATTATTTATGTACTCATTTGAAATACGTTTTTAAAACTGTGTCCACCTTAACTCAATTATTGCTATTTAATAGTAATAGCTCTTTAAATCACATCACTGCCTCAATAATCTTCAGGATGGTAATAATTGCTAATTTTATATAATATTCCATAATTAGACACTTGAAACATTTTGGCTTAAAATAAAACCACACTATTTAAAGACTACAGAAGACATGATGCCTTTCTGAATTAAACGCTGGAATTATTTTTAAGGCTTTAAAAAGTTAAATTTCAACATTTTGATAGAGGAGCTCATTGGATTTTTTCAGGCCATATACTACAGAAGTCATGAGAACCATTGCTTACACTTTTATTTGGAAGATACTTTGGCTGAAAAAAAAAAAAAAAAGAACGCCTCAGGATAACTCTGAGGACGCTAGATTAACTTAAAATGATTTCTCTAAGAAAACAGAACCATCAAGAATCATAACTAAAGATTTCACCGAATACTGTTAGCTGGTGAAGGGGCATGGTGGGATGAACTGATAAAAGGGTTCTGTGTTTTCCCCCCAACAGCAGATAATTTAAACACACACACAAGCATAAACCTTTCAATTAAAAATTCACTCAAAAAAGTGTTTTCAAACCGGGATACTGTTGTCTTTCACAATTTTCAAACTTAAATATATCGTACCCCTCAAGATCAGTTTCCAGAGATTCTAATTATTGGACTGCACATAAGAACTTTGTTTTTATGCCTATTTAAAATTATAAAACATACAAATAAATGTACAACTTTTCAAAAAAATTCCGGCGTGCCTGGCTGGGTTAGTGGGTAGAGCATACGACCCTTGATCTTGGAGTGGTGAGTTCAAGCCCCATTCTGGGTGTAGAGTTTACTTACAAAAATTTTAATTATAAAATGTAACAAACAAAATTTTCTTCCCCTTATTTAGTGGTGTTATCCTTACTTTAGGGATTTTGACTTTGAAGACACTCATTAACCATAATTTGTTAGGACAGAATCTCTAACCAAAATTTTGCCACTTCAAGGGACACTTGATCTGGTCGTTTCCAAGCTTCAAATTATATATAGTCTCGTTAGCAGGGGGAGATTCTATTGCTTGCTAGTGCTTCAACAGCCTCTAGACAGCTTTTATATTCTAAGAGTTCCTGTTGGGAATCTGGCACCAACTCAAAATTCCCACCAGGAAGAAAGATCGCCCTTCCTTAGGACCCACTGCGTGGCTCCGCCCAGAGCCTTGACCCGACCTGACCTCAGACTCTGCGTGGTCAATGGTGCACTCGCACCTGCGCGCAAGTTAGCACTGCCCAACAACTTCAGAGCCAAAATGCGGCTCGAGACCATAAAATGTGAAGTTGCAAGTGCAAGTGCCACGTCAGTCTTTAGGAGCCCCCAAGGTGCCCTGTTCGCGAACAAGCTCCCTCTTCTAAACCTTGTATCTCTAAGGATCTGAAGGTACAGGACACGCTAAACGAATATAGGAAGGCTATTACTCCACCAGCGGAACGAAGGTCTTTCAAAAGAAAGGGGGCAAGGAAACAAAGCTCGGACTGGAGACCTGGCCGACCTCCGTGCCCT